CCGACCGTCTCAGCGAAGAACCCGGGCCGCCAGCGGTACTGCGAGAGCAAGCTCGCCAACATCCTGTGGACGTACGCGCTGGACAAGCGCCTAAAGCAGCGGGCTCCGGAGCGCGGCATCAGCGTGCACGCGTTCGACCCGGGCCTGATGCCGGGGACGGGCCTGGCGCGCGAGGCGGGGCCGATTCTGCGGTTTGCGTGGATGCACATCCTCCCGAAGATCATTCCTCTGCTCAGGATTATCATAATCGATAATATACACCATCCGAAGGAATCTGGGCTCTCGCTGGCTCGCCTTGCGCTTGGGATAGATGTGGGGGATGAGAGTGGCAAGTACTTTGAGGGCAGGAAGCAGATCAAGAGTAGCAAGGATAGCTACGATGTGGCGAAGCAGGATGACCTGTGGCAGTGGACGGTGAAGTATCTTGCGAGGAATGAGGAGGAGCGGGAGCGGTTTGAGCGGTTCAAGTAGATGTGCCTGGATGGCTGTTTTAGGGGCTTCTTCTATGGGTTTTTTTTTTTTTTTTTCCTTTTCGTAAACGGTAATGTGTGTAATACCTAAGATATCATAGAGCTAGCGTTAATAGTGTGAATCTGGTGTTGTATTCTCCTCTTGTTGTTCTATGTTGATTAGACTTGAGCCAAAGGCCTCCCAGTCTGAAATCTCTTCTACAGTAGGTATCTCCATACAGCACATCGTCTAATGTAGCCCATGACCCTGCTTAATAGGTAGGTCCGCTGCTCTTTCAGCAAGTGCGTACACAGTCGACTGAAGATTGGCTGTGCCTATGAGCGGAATCGCGCTAGAGTCCACCACACAAAGATTGTCCACGCCATACACCTTCAATTTGGGGTTCAACACACCGCCCTTCTCTTCTGGCAACATTACACAGGTTCCCCCTAGGTGCCATATTGATATCGCACTGGTGCGCACATATTTCTTGGCCTTCTCAATATCGGTGAGGTGGGAAGCCGGATCACGGCGTGTTAATGGCTGTTTCAGCAAATTATTGAGAGGTGAAGATGCCGCAATTGTCTCAAGGTAAGTCATGTGCCGTGCATAGACCTCGATGTCAACTGGATTGGAGAGATACTTGGGATCGATGATGGGTGTTGCCAGAGGGTCTTTAGATGTAGTATGGACGCTACCCCTAAAAAGGGGTTGCGAAAGCATAACACCAAGCATGAGTAACCCCCCTGGTACGGGCCCAGAAGGCGAGTCAGAATCAGGGTCAATTGGGAGAACTTGCTGTCCTAGGACTGAGAGATAAGCAGCCGAGGGTTCATTCGGGTCTAGCAAAGGGTTCTCGACTACCTCATAGTACGATCGAGCCCGAGCATCATGTGGGCTATCCCCGGAAGGGCAGCGCCTAGAAAGCAGCTGCTTGGTTGTCTTCTGACTTTCTTCAGAGAGGTGTTCAACCATTGGAAGATATGCGTACGTATTGATTCCGATTGATGTTAGCAATCCACTCTGACTCGAGGCGTAGTCCTCCATGGCCCTTCTTAGAGCTTCTGGCTCCTGTCTCACAAGTGGATCGAGCGTCTCCAGACCATCTACCGTTTTGAAGCTAATACCACAGATGAGGTGATCCTGAAGATTTTCTCCCACTCTCGGAAGATCCTTGACCAGTTCGATCTCATAGCTGTGGAGTATGGATTTGTCACCGATGCCCGATAACTCGAGGATTTTTGGTGACTGGAAAACACTAGCAGCAAGAATAGTTTCTTTACTAGCGACGACAGTTTCTATTCTGCCGTTATGCCGATATTGAACCCCAGTTGCCTTTGTGACGTCGAAAAGAGTCTTTTCAACAGTTGCGTTTGTAAGGACTTCAAGGTTGGTCCTATCCTTGATAGGATTGTAGTACGCCGAAGTTGCGTAGCTCCTTTCCTTCGTTGTTGGATGGATGCTTGAAAGTTTCTGCCTAGGCTTCACGTACAAGACGCTCCTGATTACCAGCTAAAGATAATTGAAGTGGACCATAATGTTGTGAAATACAACTTCGTTGAGAGAGTCAGGTGTATTATGTACCATAACTCAGGGTTGGAAGCAAGCAAGTGGACCACTATTGGCAGTATCGAAGCCACGGTCGTCGATAGCTAGGGGAACATCCATATTCAGATTTCGCGAGAGGAAGCGAGAACTTGGCTAAATATTTGACGTGCATGATTATATCTAGCCCTCAGTAGTCTCATAGATCGTAAAAGGGCGAACCGTCGATTTGGTTGAACCCAAGCAAAATGTATAGAAACAGCACCGTTGTCGTAACGCAAATCAATCGCTTCGTAAAGTATACGGCCCTCTCTATTTTCTTAAGCCGCAATATTAGTCTCCTCTGATTTAAATCCTGCTATCAATCATGCGTGTCGGCTGGTGGTTCCGAGCTAGCTCATTGGGTCCAGAAGCCTAGTAAATGATCACGCAACTTTATCTCCGAGCACGTCAGCGTCGCTTGCAGGGTATCGTCACAGCATACGCAATCAGAATGGGGATACCATAGCACAAACCAGGTAGTGTATTAAAATGAGGTCTGCTATTTGGCTCCGGACCTCGCGATCGGCCAGTCGGCCATACATAGAATTCATTGGCCAGAAACATTAGTACCGAGCTGAGATATCGCGATATTTAAAGGCTGAACGTCACAGTACCGTATCCCTGGAAATGAGCCTTCGTCGCAGATCTTTTGGCCATTATTCTCATTAAGAGTAATTCGTCAAGGCCACAGTATGGTGCTTGAGAAAACTCTTGAGACTGCCGTGACGGCTGGGCACAGCGATGAGGAAGCCGCCCCTGTCAATGTTGATGAATCCACTGTAGCGGATTGGACCGAAGCAGAGGAGCGCGCTGTGAAGAGGAAGTAAGATATTATTCTCGCGATCCATTCGCTGGACCCGAAATGATTTAATCGACTTTTCTAATCGCCTCTAGGCTCGACTTCATTTTGCTTCCCATCTTGGGCTTGGCGTTTTTCGCGTTGCAGATGGACCGAGGGAACATCTCCAACGCCCTGACAAGTACCATTACGAAGGACCTAGGTATTGACACTAATCAGATCAATGTTGGGAATAGTCTCCTATCGGCGGGCATCGTCCTCCTTGAGATCCCCTCCAATATCCTATTACAGCGCGTAGGGCCTCAGAAATGGCTCTCTTTCCAGATTGTCGCTTGGGGGTTGGTGGCTACCTTACAGAATTTCATCACAAACTACGGTAGCTACCTCGCTACTCGTCTGCTGCTGGGTTTGGTACGTTGGATGAATAATTGAGAGTATGTATTTCTGCGTCGTATGCTGACATTCGCCTACACAGTGTGAGGCGGGCTTCATCCCTGGTTCACTTTACACAATGTCGACGTGGTACAAGAAGTCCGAGTCCAGTCTACGAATCTCAATCTTCTTCCTCGGAAATCTCATTGCATCGGCCACTACCTCATTAATCGGGGCTGGAATCCTTAGCATGGGGGACCGGTACGGAGTAGCTGGATGGAGATGGCTCTTCATAGGTACCTGATTTCAAATCATTCAACACGCCTTTCATTTGAGTCTTATAATCTAACCTGGGATTTCCCTCCTCGTAGTCGAAGGAGCCATCACAATCGGAATCGGCATCATCTTTATTCTCTTCCTTCCTCCAAAGGTTGGAAACGGCTCTCCACTTATCAGCTTCGGCCGATGGTCGTACTTCAACCGCCGCGAGTCGTACATCCTAGTCCGTCGCGTAATCCTCGACGACCCGGCCAAGACCACGAACCACCTGCGCATCTCTGGTAGCGACGTCTGGACGACGGTCAGGAATCCTAGGATCCTGATGCACATCGTCATCACCATCACATCCACGATTCCCGTGAACGCGATCAACACGTACGGCCCGAGCGTCATAAAGAGCCTGGGCTACGGCACCGTGAGGGCGAACGCGATGGCCAGCGTTGGGTCCTTTATCGCCGCGGCGGTGACGGTGCTCCTGGCTTGGGTGTGCGACACGACGAAAAGGAGAGCACCGTCGTTGTTGATTGCGTCGGTGTGGAGTTTGATTGCGTTTACATGCTTGAGGGAGGCGTGGAAGTGGAGCGCCGGGAGAAAATACGCGGCTGTCGTGTTCTCAATGGCTATGAATTCCACCATCCACATTCTTAATGTGGGTTGGCTGTCGGTGAATTGCCGACGACCGCAAGAACGAAGTGTCGCTATGGCGTAGGTTCCCTGCATCCCAATATCTTTGCTTATACCGGATTCAGCAGCTGACCTCACGGATTAGGATGATCATTATGGGCGCGAATTCTGGCGGCATCGCTGGAAGCCAAGTATTCAGGACACAAGATGCGCCTCTGTATCAGAATGCGTTTACCGCCTGCTTGGTGCTCTCCGCCGTGGTGACCATAGAGATTATTGGGCAGAGCGCTTGGTATTTCATTAGTAACAAAAAGTTAGACAAACTGGGAGATGGCCCCGTCGTGGCTGGGAAGACAGACGAGACGCCGGATGGACTGAAAGTCGAATTAGTACGAAAATGGAGATGGACATGGTAGGCAGCATTTATAATGTAGCTTCTAAAGATTGTAACATGAGAATTAACATCGACATCGCCAATGTTACAGTCCATTAAAACTAAATGAGAGTTGTACCCATTTAGAGGGCTCTTCAAAAGTATGAACTAGGGAGCAACTAGTTATTCCTCGGCTAGCTACAATATCATAGGCTTGCCGACGGATTCATATTGACGTTGGAGATTTTGGTAGGTCAATTTCATGGATATATGACTTGCTCTCTCATCAGCGTATCTTATCCCCGAGATGTGAGAAGCTTGCTCTTAAGATTTTACGTGGGGTCCTCCGGCTTGGCGCTCAGCTCTAAGAAGTAGTGGTAAGCAAACACCAATCGGCTAAATAGGGTAAAGTTTACGCCATTAAGGCACTTGAGATATAGTCCAAAATTTCAAACCACAATCTTCAACGAATCAGATCCAGCGTGGATCCATGAGATCCCAAGCTAAGATCGCCACGGGCTTGTGGTTTAGTGGTATAATACTCCCTTAGCATGTGATGAAGCAGGCCTCCTTGTATATCTGTACAATGGCTGGCTACTTGTCGCGTCTAAAATGGGAGTGGTCCGGGGTTCGATTCCCCGCGAGTCCATCTGTAGGAGGTTAGATTCCTTCTATACCACCTTTTTGATTTTCTTTTGAACATTATGACTTCAAATACGAAGGCCAGTCACGTGAGTCGAATATATCACATAAACACTTCGGATTTATTGACCTTTGTCTTTGAATGTCTGGTGAAGGATAAATATCAACTAGATGGATCTTCTTCCTTCTCCTTTTTGCCAACCCCCATGGTATCAACATATGTAATAAGCTACCGAGTACGAAGCCGCAAATCACTCCAAGACGACCGCTTTGACATTGTTCAAACAGCCGGGTGTTCGCTCTTTTCTCCTGCAGGATCATTACTAAGATAAGCTATTGACTTACTCACAACATGATGGAAAACTCGGTCCAAATATGATTAAGAGTGTCACATCTGAGGATACCATGTTGCGATGCTATCAATAATGCGAGCTCGTATTCGGGATCGTGAGTAGGATTTTAGATGATTGATTCACATGTAAAACAAGGAATTTCTGAGCTGCGTTAAAGCCACTTATGCATACCTTAGCCACATGTTATTGCGTGGCTTGTCGGATTCGTATTCGTGTTCAGGGGAATACCTAGGTACGTTGGATACTTCGGCAGAGGCAAGAACGGCATAGGCCGCCCCTGTCTCCGCCTTCATGTTCCTCTAATGCAGGTTCAGCGCAATCAGGGTTTGTCAGGTGCAATCCTGTTGGTCGAGACCAGTTCGAGCTTAGGCCAATTCTGCATTGAAATTGGCCAAGCAAATTGGAAAGGGTCCTTTAGGCTTTACGTGGGTCCTTGCAATCAATTGTCGATAAGGATACCAAAAATTAATAAATGTCGTCGAAGACCCCTTTCCTGCACCGCTTCTCTCGACATTATCATATCGCCTGCATCAATCGTCTTTCTTACCATCCCAGTCGCTGTGTTACGGTGTTCTATTACCTGCCATTTTAATTCATACAGTCAATTATATTCTTTGCCGTCACATTCATTCAACATGTCGCCCTCAAGAATCGAGCTCGAGAAGCAGGACAGGGCGCGCGATGCCGCCTTCAACAAGGCCATGCATGGCGACACCGCTCAAGCGGCTGGAGGTTTCCGTGCTATTATCGGAAAGAACTCTACGGCGCAAAAGGCTGCCGTTGACGAGTACTTCAAGCACTGGGATAACAAGGATGCCAAGGACGAGACAGAGGAAGACCGCAAGAAGCGAACAGCTGAATACGCTACCCTGACCAGACAGTATGCTACTAATACTTGTCCCGATACTACTGTTTCATGATACTAATATTCCTCATAGTTACTATAACTTGGCAACGGACTTATACGAGTATGGTTGGGGCCAATCCTTCCACTTCTGTCGATACTCGATTGGCGAGACCTTCTACCAGGCCATCTCCCGACATGAACACTACCTCGCACACCAGATTGGTATCAAGGAGGGTATGAAGGTGCTGGATGTCGGTTGTGGTGTTGGTGGCCCTGCTCGAGAGATCGCCAAGTTCACTGGTTGCCATGTCACCGGTTTGAACAACAACGACTACCAGATCCAACGTGCCACACACTACGCTGCCAAGGAAGGATTATCAAACCAATTGGCATTTGTCAAGGGTGATTTCATGGTGAGTTCCGCCAACACCAGCGATTAGAGTCTAATTCGGACTAGTCGTCATATGTACTAATCTAGTCGATAGCAAATGGACTTCCCCGACAACAGCTTCGACGCCGTCTACGCTATCGAAGCTACCGTCCACGCGCCCAAGCTTGAAGGTGTTTATAGCGAAATCTTCCGTGTGTTGAAGCCCGGCGGTGTCTTTGGTGTGTACGAATGGCTCATGACTGACGAGTACGACAACAATAACCTTGAGCACCGCGAGATCCGTCTTGGTATCGAGCAGGGTGATGGTATCTCGAACATGGTCAAGGTCTCTGAGGGTCTGGAGGCCATGAAGATCGCTGGGTTCGATCTCCTACACCACGAAGACCTTGCTGACCGCCCCGACCCTATCCCGTGGTACTGGCCTCTTGCTGGCCAATGGAAGTACATGCAGTCCGTTTTCGACGCACCTACCATTGCGCGAATGACGTGGTGGGGTCGTGCATTGGCGCACAACTTTGCTGGTGCCCTGGAACTGGCTGGATTAGCACCAAAGGGTACTAAGAAGACGGCTGACAGTTTGGCTCGTGCGGCCGACTGCTTGGTCGCCGGTGGGGAGAAGCACCTCTTCACCCCTATGTATCTGATGGTTGGGAAGAAGCCCGAGAAATGATTTACCAGCGAGTCGCTAGTGCTGTGAGTCGAGGGGGACAAAATGTGCTTATAAGCGCAATAATGAGTAAAGAAGCAACGCCAAAAACTTCTTAATATTAATAATACCGAGATACCTGAAGGGTCCTCACTGGTTGATCGTTGGACCGCCTAGGTTCTGAGTTCTTTGTACATATGGCATTGAACCATACCTACTATACTGGTAGCCTTTTGTTACATTAGGTACGCATTAGCATCATCGACGAATAGAGTAATTAGAGAACTTCCCAAATATCCTTCAGCGACCGTTAACGTTCCTTAACTCTGAATGCGAGCCAGACTAATGACATTAAACTCGTATAGCTGGTTGATTTTGGAGACCAGATAGTTACCTATACTGTTCATACAAGACTCTACATTATGTTTGTACGTAGATATGTATCTTTAAAGCTGTCGTCCATCCCATTAGCGGCCAATGCAAGCTGACTGTTATCCATATGGACCACCTGCAGTGATACGATTAGCATGTTGATACGGATTACCCCCAACGGAGGATTCCCCAATCGACATCCGTTACGGCGTTACTAACGTCCTTGGGGAGATAGGACGGCCAACACATTATACAGTTATCAATTGAGAGGAATCAAGCGAGGGTAAACTCGAATTCACATTGCGAACTATGATTTTGTATCATTAACTTGAACCCGATTTATTCCATGTGTTAATAGTGTCTATAGCTAGAGGTACAAAAGTACCTACGTTTGTAAGTGAACTGGAGATTTCAAAGCTCCGATGACTCGGAAAAGTAACGAGCTAAACCCGATATGGCCTAGGGCTCCTTCTCACCTCAACAAGCTGTTCCTATTCCATCCGAAAAAAAAGTTGGGAGACAAACGCGAATTTGATAGCAACTCCAAAAAAAAAAGGCTTACGGAGAAAATCGCTCTTCAACCTCTCGTACCTAATCATTATCACCACCCCTCGTCACCAACGACAAACCACGCCAACTTCTAGTCGGCTGGGAGTTTGGTCTCAATTGACTTGTATTCTCTTGTCCTATCCTACCCATCCTCTCCGTACGATCCCATACCCGCCATCATCATGTCGCGCTATCTTCGTCCGGCAGCTCGACTAGCTGCCTCTGCTCGCACCGCTGCAGCCCCCCGAGCTCTTTCCCGCATTGCCCCTGCTTCTTTCGCCGTATCTCAACGGAGAACGTTCGCCGATGTCAAGGGAGTTAAGGAGTACACTGTCCGTGACGCCCTCAACGAGGCCATGGCTGAGGAACTCGAGGCCAACGACAAGGTCTTCATCCTCGGTGAAGAGGTTGCCCAGTACAATGGCGCGTACAAGGTTACGAAGGGCCTGTTGGACCGATTTGGCGACAAGAGAGTCATTGATACACCGATTACGGAAAGTGGTTTCTGTGGTTTGGCCGTTGGTGCTGCACTGAGTGGTTTGGCTCCCATAGTGAGTAGAATTGCAAATCTCTAAAGTCGGATTGGCAGAATAAGCAAGGATTAATCGGGCATGTCAAATTTAGTGCGAGTTCATGACCTTCAACTTCGCCATGCAAGCTATCGATCAGATCGTCAACAGCGCTGCCAAGACCCTCTACATGTCCGGGGGTATTCAGCCCTGTAATGTCACCTTCCGTGGCCCCAACGGTTTCGCCGCCGGTGTCGCCGCTCAGCACTCTCAGGACTACAGCGCTTGGTACGGTTCGATTCCCGGTCTCAAGGTCGTTTCTCCCTGGTCTGCCGAAGACGCCAAGGGCCTATTGAAGGCTGCCATCCGTGACCCTAACCCCGTCGTCGTCCTCGAGAACGAACTTATGTACGGTGTATCTTTTCCCATGTCTGAGGCCGCGCAGAAGGATGACTTCGTCCTTCCTTTCGGCAAGGCCAAGGTTGAACGCCAGGGCAAGGATCTGACTCTGGTCTCCCTTTCCCGTACTGTTGGTCAGTGCATGGTTGCTGCTGAGGCTCTAAAGAAGAAGTATGGTGTGGACGTTGAGGTTATCAACTTGCGATCAGTCAAGCCTCTAGATGTGGCGACTATCGTCAACTCGGTTAAGAAGACCCACCGCCTTATCTCTGTCGAATCTGGATTTCCCTTCGCTGGTATCGGTGCCGAGATCCTTGCCACGACTATGGAATACGCTTTCGATTACCTAGACACTCCCGCGCAACGAATTACTGGTGCCGAAGTTCCCACGCCCTACGCCGAAGGCCTCGAGAAGATGAGCTTCCCGAACGAGGAGCTTATCGAGAACTTTGCCGCGAAGGTGCTACGTGTTTAAATGAGGGTGAGAATTGGCAAATAGACGCGGAGTTTGAGGCATGATGAGCAATGTACATTATTAATCATTTACTACCTGGTACAATTGTTTCCGCTGGATTAGGTGTCTCAAAGATGGCGGTGTCGTTCCCACAATGAAAAAAAGGATACCTTGATTTTTGCATATCTTGTCTCGTGCTTCACTATGTGCCGTCTAGGACTTTCATCGTACACCTTCGGGAGTGATGTATGGACGTCCACAAATCCGGCCGAATGAACTAGTCCCGAGCAAACTCCCTCATATGCGGTTGCAGTCGTACAGTGTTACCTTCTTATTCGAGGTAGACAGGTGCATCGATGTAGGTATCAAAACGTTTAGACCCAACTGCCTGCCGAGTCTTCATAACCTGACACGGGAGCCGGGAGCCGGGCGCCTGGATTGGATTACATCTGCAAGACCGGCTACTATCCTTGCAACCATCCATGTA